TCTTATTCTCCTGCTGTTCTTGAATTTACATTGCAACACTATAATTTCCCCATTGTGGACTAAACAGACGTTTATCTTACATTATTAAGTAAATCCATATCCACATACACCTTAAGTGATCTACGTATGGTTCAAATTATTCGTCCACCTTATATATACATTTTAAACCATTTTATTGCGTAGTGGCAATATATTTGTGACTTCTGAACATAATTTTCTGCATGCATATCGGGTTAGGTTTTTCCTACACATTTGATCTGACTCTATCATTTACAGTAATAGTCTGGAAGCAGTAGTTTATACAGTTGCAGAGATGCACAGGTCGTCTGCGATAATTACAACTCATCTCTTGTAGAATTACATGGTTGGAGAGCTTTTCCCGTATGACAATAATTACAGCTATTTATTTATGTCAAAGTCTTATCTCAAAATGGTCATTTCATTTCTCATCAGAGCAGAGTATTGTTTATGTTTTTATGTGATTTCAAATGGGCCACAGAGAAAACTAAAACTGTGATAGAGGCACTTCACATACAGTATCATTTGAACCAAAGCCTAAGTGTCAGTCGGTTTTAAAGTGTTTATCAGATTTTATTTAAAGATGGTCTATGTTACTTTTCTGGTTTTTATGGAGATGCAATTGCTTTGCCTGGAAAATTCAAAAGCATTGCATTCAACTTATCTATCTAGCATTTATTTAAAGAGCCCATATTATGATATTTTGTGATTTATTTTACAATGTGTCATAAACATACCTGGAGTTGTGTTTTGTTTGATTCACACATGTTTAAGGCTGAGTTCTCCCCACTGAAAACACTAAGATCCACCTTGTGATGTCATAGGATAATGCAGGAAATGTACAACCGTGTTTTTAAACTTCATACACCTTCACTAGAATCATTTGGATATCTTCAGCACTGGAATTGCCAATATCTATTGAATTACTAAAGGTACTAACTTGAAAACCACCACTACATCACAAGGTGGAACAGAGCATTTTGATCTTTGGAGATGTAAACAGATTAATAATAATATAAGATTAGTCAACATGTGTAAATGAAACAAAACACAACTCACAATTTTGATATAGAGCCATTAATTCACATTAAAGGGTCCTCTACATACATACTATGTACAAACTAGTATATCTTTAATAAAATAACAGAGACTATTGATTGGTTAATTACAGGACTTGGTGGTAGGTTGGAGTATTGAAAATTGCAATTACACTACAGCTTTTACTGTGTGAAAGTGAATGGATTTCCTTAGCTGTTTCCTCAAAATCAACAGTCGCAAAGTGTTACATAAATCTTGCTGTAATCTTTGGTTACTGAAAGTGAATTGCCAATTTGTACAGACAGTCTAAGAGAACAGAGTCTAAAATGAAAAACAAGCAAATAACCTTTGACAGATGAAGATTAATGAAAGAGGTGAGGGGTTGAGAGACAAGAGGCATAACCCAGTGCACCAGAGAAACACAGAATAAATATTAACTTAGGGATGACTGGCGGGAACATGCACAAGGGGAAAACTATGAAGAATATGCCAAAATGGAAAATAACGAAATTCCAACAAAACAGAGAATGAAATAGGCATAACAATAACATTTTGGGAGGAAAGTTGGTCAGGCATTGCTGTTCTTGTGAGTTTTTGGGCACTTTGGCTGTGAATGCTGTGAGGGAGGGGTTCTTTTTCAGAGGCCAAATGAGGACACGCACACATGTAGGTCACAGGAGCGTGTATGTAGCCCCAATCTTGTTTTTATGGAAGCAGTAAAAATGCTGGTTATACTGAAAAGCCGTGACCTACTGCCAGAATTGAGTGAGTAGGCAGACACAGAGAAAAACTACTCAAAAACTCTTAAAATTAAACTTACAGCAATCCAAAATGAATCTGAGAGAGTGAGACAGAGCAGTGAGGATTCCAGGTCTCACCAAACTGCGAAAGACACATAGCAATTAGCTGTTATATGAGCAGCTATAGTTAGGTAATGGTGCTGATTAAGGCAATGTGGATATAATTATGGGAAAACTACTGTATAACAAATATTCTTAAAATAAATAAAACATTAAGTTAAAATGTAGGTATGGCTTTGCTTGGGGTTATGTTACATTTGAAGTAAATGTACTAGATGTACTATTCTCCAGTGGATGGCTTGCCACTGTCTTGTCTCCTTGGAGATATTATTGATTTGTATGGAATATCCCACAGTATGGCATTAACCATATCAATTACAGGTGTTTTTATTACTCAAAATAACCTTAAAAGTTTGCATTTAACTGTGAGCTGGCCCACCTCTCCACAGATCTGACCAGTATCTTCACCTGCTTGTCTCCATGGAGATTCTGTGACACATTCTATCCAAATAACATCTCCATGGAGAAAAGTTACATTAAGCACCTTTAACAATGAGGAATACTTAATTATTCCCAGCGGCAAAAACTCAGGCTTGATCAGCTCGACTTTAGCTGGAGCATGGCTATTCATGTGTTCAGATACGAAAGCCAGCACTACACAGGCTGACCATAGGGTTGTAATTGTCTCTCAGAATAGCATGTATACTCTCCATGCATAATTACAAATTGAGCTAAGTGGGCTAATTTGCAGGCTGAGGTCATAATGGGGAGAAATTACAGTCTTATTTGGTAACACTGGCTGTGGAGCATTGCTATGACTTAAAGATATGAGAGAAGCACATGTTGATCCCAGCTGCCAATCAAACCCCATGTGGCAGTAATTTCAGCCTTAAAATTGGCTTAATATTATTAGCAGGGCAATAATTTACAAAAGGGTCCTTGATTATTCTTAAAATATCGCCCAGAAGAAACAAATCAGTCAGAGCATTAGTGGCATAACCATTACTCAAAATTCTTTCAGAAAAACATTTCAGTGCTGTGACTGTTTAAATCCAGGCTCAAAAAGGTTCTGTTTAGCTGTTTGTTTTTTATTTCACACTCTTTTCTCTTCTCTTTTAATTATTTATATTTGGATTGGTTTGTATTGTGATTTTAATGACTTTCTTATTCTGTAAAGCACTTTTAATTACTTTGTGTACAAACGGTGCCATACAAATAAACTTGCCTTGCCTAAACATGTTGCCATTAACTGAAACCACAGAACCAAGCTGTGGATGTTATTGGCAACTGGAAGAATTAAGAGGTGTTAATAACCTGGCAATAATATTAGACATTGGGGCTCTGTAAATGAATGTGTTTATGCAGTGTTATTTTCAGAAAAAATGACTAATGTTGACATCGATGTTGTTTCCTAATCAAAAACAAACCCAACTTGACTCAATCATGCATGACTAAGAACAGTATGGCTACAGAACCTTATACCTACTGTTACATCTAAAACTGCTACATGTTAGGACTGCTATAACTATTGGTTTTATTATTTTTATACTTTTGTACATTGCATTTCGTAGCCTTTGACTTCAGTTTTAGAGCTCTCATCTACCAATGCTGAAGGTCAGAGGATCGATTCTATCTCAGACCATGTCGTTGTGTCTCCGTTAGGCAAGACACTTCACCTAGCTTGCCAAGTATGAATGTGGCGTGTATGTGAATTATTAGTGGTCGCAGGGGCCAATGGCGCAGATTGGCAGCCTCACTCTACCCCAGGGCAGCTGTAACTACAAAAATGCTTATCACCACCACGTATAGTGAATGTAGTAGTGAATAATGACTACAGTGTTGTGCTTTGAGATGCTTCAACCAGCCTGTAAAGTGCACTACTACATTATTATTATGGAGCAGTCATTGACAAAAAGTGCATAGTATGTACATAACTCACAGAAGAGCAGAGGGACTCAAGACTGTAAGTTCATGAGCCAGAAACATAGAATATATTTTGAGTTACAGTGCTGACTGTCCAAACGTAGGATATCATTAGTCCTTTGAATCACTATCCCAGTATAAGGATCCCTGCATAAGAGTCAAATGTTTTGGAAAAAGGTATTCCCCAAATGGGTTTTTAAAGACTGCGCTGCTCTATGGTATGTGGAAAACTGCTGGTCCCAGGTGGCTGGCTGTGAAACTTCCCTCACACAGATTTGCTGGTGGGTGCACACTGCGTTCCTGCATAAATCATAGGTTAATAATACATCTCTCACGAAGGCTTTATAGAGCTTAGAGCAGCAGCTAGGCAGGCTCTGGTTTTAAGTGTCCTGGAAAGATTGAAAAAGTGACCTCTGAAAATGGAACGGACAGATGTAGCGATACAAAAACATGAGCTTAATGAGTGACAGAGAGGTCTACATTACAAGATGTAGTTGACTAATAGTGTGTTAAAACTATACCACATAACTTATGCTGAATTGTAGCCACAAGATGAAGCCGATTACACAACAGGGAAGTGTAAAAGGAAGTCTCCCAGCCAAGAAAAACATTGTATTGTACAATAACATATACACACACATTTTATCTGCAACAACAAAAGAGAAAATGTTCTGTTTTAAAAATAAACTGACCTATTTAGTGAATTTTAGTTTAAATACTTTATTTTAGTCTAATAGATTTGCACATCTGGTAAGCATTTTGACTGACCTTTATTGGTAACAGTGCAACACAAGAACAGACATTTCATGTAGTTTGAGCTTAATTTGTTCATCTGTTTATTTTTGGCACACTGGTTCAGTGCATACATATTTATGCTTGGATAGAGCTCAAAGTTAAGATCACATTGGCATGTGTCATTTTAGCCACACCAAACTGGGTTTGCAATGTTTTAAGTGGACTATGAATCTCTTTTCTATTGTTAACTTTGTGTCAGAGCAGTGTGAGTTACTGCTTCTCCAGATGTGGTCAGCTGAACAACAGACAGCCCGGCCATAATGTTTCTGATTATAGCTCTGCCAGCTCGCCTACTTCAGGTTTGAGATTTGCTTCGGTCTAAGATGTGCCAAACCAGAGACCACACAGATAACAAACCTGATGTGTAAGCAGTTCCACAGGTGGCTTTGTAGAAAATGAGTGCGGACTAGATCCACTAAAACTCACCAAATCATGCACTGACCATCGTTGTCCACATGGGGGATCTGTCTGGTCAAAAACGAGCTCTGTACATTTCCTTCATACTATCTAAAACAGAAAGATGTTCAGATGTAAAGCTGCACGTAGTCTACGCCTTTAACAAATATTCAGTTAAAATACCAGAAGATACCAGTTGTTAAAACTTCCATATTGACTATGTGCTTTGGCCAGTTGTAAATCAAAGTAAAATAAATACAAGCTTTTATAGAGGGCAAGTAAAAATTCTTACTTTTTAACAAAATGGCCCTTCCTTTTCCTTCTCTTCAATGATAGGTTAGTCAAACGTACGAGATGTAGGCTTGAAATCCCCTGGGCTCGTCTATTTTATAATCACAGCTCGACGGCGCCATCTTGTGTCGTATTTCTGCAGGAAAACTGACAGAAGAAGGTGCACTGGTCATAAATTCTTTATAGCCTAATTGCATGCTTAGATATAGTTGGGTAGTCTACAATAACGAGCTACTATAGTCTGATATAAGTCAGTATAAGCTGTGGTGAACATTGTAGATGCCGTTACGTTGAATTAGGCCTACTTTAAACACCTTCGCTCAACAGATGTCTTTACGGCGGACAAAGCCGTGAGCCATATGCTCCCTGTTCCCCTCTAGAGCGCACACGCGAGACACGAAGAGCGCGTCTACACGCATGCGCACACACCCATCTTGCATCTCAGTGTCTGGGAGACTGCAAGATGATGCGAGTGAGCAGCCGCCGGTGAACGGACTGAAAGCGTAATTAGTCAATCGTAGTCTGTATTTTTCTGCCTTGTTCATTTTTCTTGCCAAAGTTGGTACTGTTGTCAAACTGGAACCAGT